GGGCAGCGCCCCCTGCCGCCCCTGCCCCCGGCCCGGACGGGCGCATCCCACACAGCAGCGGGAGAGCGCCGAGGGCACGCAAAAACACACCGCACACGCTTCCTCAGCGTTAACAAAACAAACAAACAAACATAAATTAGAAACCATCACGTATTTTCTGCCTGCTTGGGGTTTTAGTTTGGGTTTTTGTGGTTTGAGGGTTTTCCCCCCTCAGTACTGGTCTAACGCTGATACAAGAACCAAGTATTTTCTCCCCATTTTTGCTTTCTTTGCCAAACTGCTTCAATTTTTCTAAGACCTCTTCTCTACGTGGCCCCACCTCCACCTCCTTAAACACACCATCACCTCTCCCTGATTGTCACTTCAGCACTTAATTTCTTAAAAATCAGCAAAGGATCGAAGAAGAAAAAAAAAAAAGTATCTCCTTCTCCTTCCTCCATCTTCTGCTTTTGAAAGAAGTTACAACTTTGTCAAGAAGGGCCATCCACATATATCAATGAGGATATTAAACCAGCAGGTGTATAAAAATGCCTCGGGTATGACTATTAATCTCTATCCTAATACTACATCTCATTTGCTCAAAATCTTAATGGTTTTATAAATGTACATACGAAAACTTCCATTTTATCCTAAGAAAGGCAAGTAATACTCTCACATCTGCAAGTAAAGACTGAGAAGCTCACTTTAGAACAAGCCACAAGCCAGCAGCAGAGACCAAAACTAGTAATCCTAACTCTTGGATCCTTCACCTCCAACCCAATACTGCATTTTTTTTCCCTTCCCAAAAGAATTCCTTTTTCACACTAACATTCTGCTCCTAAAAACAGAATATATTCATCCGTTTCAGCCTCACCTTATAATCTATTTGATTGTGTAAGAAATCTCACATAACAAAACTTGCAATTTACCCTATTAACCCAAACATCTTAAAAATCTCTCCCACATTCTCAAGAAAATGGTTTGTAGGAGGAAAGCTGGCCTCACAGTCAGATGCACAAAAGCATTAAGCTCTGAAGTTGGATATTATTGCCAGAATTCTTCCCTGAAAACCAACTCCACCCATTTCAATCTAAAAGACACAGCCTCAGACAATGCTGGGTGTGCAGAGAATACTTCCTAATCCATGAGAGCATCTATTGCAAAGTAACTATGGTATATATAAGGGGAAGAGCAGATGTTTAAATAACTTCAAGATGGCCACTTCAAGTGCACTTTTCACTCAAAGCTACTACAGTCAAAATAAGTACAATCTTTCAATAACTACTTCACAGATGTAGGTAATTCAAAGGCAAAAAATAATCATAAACTTAACTGCATGTAACAGACTGGGAGAGGGGAAAAAGGATGGTATCAAAGTAAAAGGTCTGTGATAAAAATCAAACTGTGTGTCGCATCAGCCAAGCAGACACTGCCACAATTGCTTCAGGAACACAATGCATGGAACAGATTCCTTGCAATTTACAGAGGGAATGAAAGCTCACCTCAGCTCTCAGCTGTGGCACCCTTACACTGCTTAAGCCAGGCTTTACTCCAGCAATCACACAGCAGCTTCCTTCCCTCCCCAGCACATACAAACCTATTTCCTCCCACATTCCTTCAATCTGCAGTACACCTCTAGCAGCTGTTCTAACAAAAGCACTCACTGTGCTCCTTTCTGACTTTACATCATATATGAATATGTTTTATTGAAATAACAGGGAATTCAGCCAATCAGAACAGCTGTCTAGAGAGATCTGGAAATCTTCTCTGAAGACCACTCTTTTTGCCTTCAAGGGGCTGTTCTCTTCACAGAGAAGATTAGAGACCGCCCTCTCCCTCCAGGAATTGGTCTCCATGGCTCATTTACTCATTCTCCTGTCTTCAACACCCAAAAGCAGGAGAAAAATAGACTAGTTTCTTTATCCTTTTCACAATGATGTATTTCTCTTAAGATGAAACAAGAAACCAGATTTATGTATTATTGATAAATGTGAAAGATGAAAGGTATCTAGTATGCAAAAAAAAAAAAAGTTCAGTATTCTTTTCGTTCAGGATGCAACTACTCAATGCTTTTGTAAATTAAAAAAATCTAGGTTGTGTCTTCCTATGGGAATGATGAATGGAATCCCAGATGTTCATAGCATCAAGGATCAACGTGATTTAGCTATTTCACCTGTGATCTGATGTTGCAGCACACTCCCACTGCCTACAGTGGGATCTGGGAAACAAGTTAGTGGAACAGTTATTACCAGCAGCCCCTCCCAGAATCACCCCGTTTTTAGATCTTGGCTCACACTCTCAGTTACAGCACTGTGCAGGTAACACGAACTCCACAGATTTCAGTGGTTAACAGAGAGGTAAAACCTAACCTTAGTTTTAGCATACCTCTAGGCATGTTTAATCCCTACAGCTGAGACACTGACAATAAAAATCCCAGGGAAATGAGAAGGAACAAGCAAGAGACTGACAGTCACAACCGCCATGGGAAATGGAGAACTAGGAAAAACACCGCTCCAAGCACCCGCCTCACTACGAGTAACATTAACAACACTGTTAATGCTTATCCCTTAATACTCATTCTCAGAGCAGAGCTATTCAAGCTGGAAAAGGTATTTTGACTTCCTTTTCATCATAAATTAGCTTAGGCTTGAAACTGAGTACCCATTTTCAATAAACCAATCATCTCTACCATTACAACAATTTCTAGAACGCCTGGAAGGATGCATTTCAAGACAGTGAAGACCTAAGAATGGTTGGCAGTTGCTTGCAAGTTATCTCCTTCCAGAGACACCTCAAGGCAAATCTGAATTATAAAGTCAATCTTAGAGAGCAGACCAGTTAAACAGCTAACGAACAGTTGTCCAGCACATGACCCATCATGTAATCCATCATACACTGTCATGGAGGTCTCTGTCTCATCTTAATGAGAGCAGTATTTGAAACATCTCAGAAATAGGACTTTCTATGTCATAGGGAGAGCAGGTCCGCAAACAGTTCACAGCTGTTTCGAGCATAATGCACAAGTGATTTTTTTTTTCCACACAAAGATACCAGCATGATGATCATCTAAAGAAAATATTAAGGAAATATGTATGGATGATGAATGTATCACATGGTGATAGAGAAAAGAACTGACATCTTTAGAAAAATAAATCCAAGATAAGTCAATTCGCTCCTGACAATGCTGCTTCATGGTGATGCTTAAGGCCAACATCAAGAAAAATTCCTCTTTTACGTACCAGAAACTAGTTTTCCTAAGATTGTCACATAACTGTTTGAGAATCTTTGGAAAGAACACATTTTTAAAAGCTGAAGAATCTGAAAAATTAAAATATTTATTTAAATGCATTTTATATAATATATTAAAAAGCTGCAGCACAATCTGTCCACTGCTGCTGCATTATCATCCACCCTCTACACATGCATCGGAGAATTGAAAGTCTCTGCAGGCAGGTGAACCCCAAGCACACCTCTTTGAAAGCACATCACACTATTCACCTCCTTTTCCCTTTGAGAATTGTAGACTGCAACAGCCAAAGGATATGGGAATATATTAATTGTTCCCATTCATTCCCACCCCTGCAGACGGGCAACTGCACTCCCCATGATGGCTTTCATCTCCCTGTCTCCACCTTTGCACTGAGTGATGTTCACGATGCTAGCAGCAATCCTCCCAGGCACAGCAGCCTCTGAAAGGCGGACATCCACACCCCCCATCTTTCCTCCTCTGTGTTCATGCTTGCAAGTAGGAGGCAAGATTCCTCATTCACACACCCCACTTTCCGATTACCACCGAATAATCCATCCTCTTTCCTCCCCGCAACATGAGCCCAATACTGGTCAGCATCAGCCATCCTTCTACTTCAGTCTTGGTATTTTTTCCAACAACAGGCTCTCAGCTTTTTCACGCCCCTCCACTGTCCCTGTGTGCGCACGCACGCCCGTGTGCAAATAAAACACACCATTTCCTCCCACATCAGCTGCTTTTCCACCTGCGCCAGGTTCCCCCGCAGTGTGGTACAATACCCCCTCTCCTCCCCGATCCGCGTGTACACAGCCAGTTTTCCCTCCTCCCTTCCCCCACCCTACAGTCTCTGTGCATGCCTCTCCCAGCGCCTGGAGTGGGGGAAGGGAAACATGCACTGCGTGAATGAATGGGCTGAAGAGACTTACCAGAAATTTGGTGAGGAAGGAGTGGAAGACGAAAAAGACACTAAAGATGGGTGTTTCCTTCAGCGTGCCAAGTGCTGCTTCAGTTCTGGCTCCCTTAAGGAGGTCACGTGTCTTGCTAGGTACCCCTTTTCCTGGATCCTCTACTAACCAAAAAGGCTGGCACAGAAGTCTTCTGGATGCCTCCCTGCACTACACCCCAAAGGAGGGAAGGGTACTACTGAAGCTCCCAGAGCAAGGACCTGTCAGGCACTGTCTATCGGATGCCTCTGGGACCAGGGTATATTTCTCAGGGAGGGAAGGGGGAGTAAATGAATGTTTAAAATAATTCCCAAATTGTTTTCCCCTACGGAGCAGGGAAGGATGGGAAGGAGTAAAAAGAGTACTGGTGAAGAGCTGTAGCTTTCTATGTAAAAGAAACTCAATCCTTGTGTCTCTACTTCCTCAGAACTAAACCCCTAAATGACTGAAGTCACCAACACCTAGGGAGGAAAAAGAAAAAAGAAGAAGCATCCCTATTAGATATAAACATACAAAGGTATGAAATAAACTAAATCCCAAAGGAAGAAAACGGGCTATTCAAAACAGTAAGCAAAGTCAAAAAGAAAATGATGACATTAACATAATTAGGGGAAATGCACAACACTAAGTATTTTACACAAATATACTATCACAGAAACCAATTTTAAGGGGAAAAAACCCACAAGGCTAAGCAATTAGTTCTTTTACTTAGGAATGTGTGTTCAATGGATAGATAAATCCATACCTACACGGGAACATATGAGGAAATTAAGTTTCTAAACCTACAAAAACTATTTCTATTTATTTGTGAGCCTTAAAACCTTTAATCCTCTTCCCCAGAATAACCTTTAGGATTCAGATGACACTAGAGGAAAGTACATTTCACTTCAGAAGCGTGTGTTCCTATGCATTAGGAGCCTGTATTCCCATGCATTAGAACCCACTCTGCCATAGAAAATAAACAGCGGTTTATAAACGGTGACAAAAAAAAAAAAAAAAAAAAAAAAAAAAAAAAAAAAAAAAAAAGAACAAATCAAAATAACATGTCTGGAGGACGCTTGCCTAAATGATGGAATCAATCCAAGATTAACAGTGGCACGCTTGGAAAACGGTGCCCCTGGTAAGATCCCAGGCAGTAAAGTCACCGATGTGCCACCAGCTCTTTTTTAAACACCGGAAAACAAAAGGGGAGAGGAAACCTAGTTGGGAAGATCTTGCTGCCAGACCCAACGCCAGCCACACACACCCCTGGCTCCATCACGTGAAGATCAGCCCCCACAGCCACCGCCGATCCCCACGGACCCGTGCGGGGACGCGGCCGCCGAGCGAGTCCGCGGGGCGGCGGCCCCCANAACCCCAGCCATTAACCAGGTTATCTAACTAAGATTCAGAGTCTATTCTTAGTTTAAACACACTGTTTTTCAGTTGCTATATGCCTTTATGGATAGATTCTGAGTTATTAAACAGGTTGAAAATTGATTTTCTGGGGAGGCAGTAGCTAAGCATAAGGTATCTTGTTTTGTTACATTAGCTAGAGTTATCTAAGCATTTGTTTTGGGTTGGTTAAGAGGCTAATCTGTGTTAGCAAAAGCAAGCAATGTTAATAAGCATAAGCATACCATTCATTTAATTCCATGTTTATGCTTAACTATGTTGTGGCAAAACCTTCTTTTTGGATTTTAGTTTTCAAGCATATCTTTCAGCACATTCTTTTTTTGTTTTTTCCCAAGCTTGTCCAGGGACTGGCCAAATATAAGGCACTAAGTTGTTTTGTTTGCACTCTACTTTGCAAATATGTCTATTTTCAGATTCCCTCAACCCTTCCCAGGACTATTACTGGACTATTGGCTTTTTGAGATAACAGTCACATCGGCTCCATGGAGTATCAATGAGTCTTGTCAGAGTCACTTTGCACTGGCATGTGAGAAGATGTAATAGGCTGTGTCCAAAAAATCTGTGGGATCTACCCCAGTAGAGCCAAACCCATCTGTTCAGCTCTCAGGGGTTTCAGATAGGGGTGCTTCTACAAAAAGTATGAGTTGGGCTGCATTGCTCCCAGCCAGGACCACACAGGGCAGCTGGGGGGTCCAAGCCATTATCTTTATTTCCCCCACTGAGTCAGACTCAATGATTCCTAGCAACACAAATAATCCTGATATCGAGGTAGAAGATCTACCTACAACCGAAGCATGGTAACCAGGTTTCAAAGGTCCAGAAATTCCTGTAAAGAGACAAAACACTGAGCAATCAGTTAATGTTACTGTGTTACGGGTTGATAGGTCCAGTCCAGTGCTCTCTGGGATGGCTGCACATAGGTCAGACACAGCCTGGTGTGGGGAGGCTGGGCTGGTTGGAAGCTGGCAGCTGCTCCTGGATGCTGCATCTGCTGCTGCATCGGCTGTGGCATTTGTGTCTGCACACATCGCTGTCCTGTGCTCCGAGATGAGTTTCCCTGTAAAGGCTGGCCACTCTGGTGGAACTTGGAGCAACAGAGATTAACCTTAATTCCTGAGTGGCCTAAGGGCTCCAATTGTGGGTTTCCCCCACCTCAGGCCAAGCACAAAGATTTCTGCTGTGGTATCAAAGTCTCTGTCCTTAAGGGCTTTCATTTTTATCCGTAGCCAATTATTATGCACGTGCAAAAGGAATAAGTCCAGGTCTTTTTTGGTACCGGTGTCAAAAGGATCCAGTTCCTCTTCACTGCCAGAGTCAGTGTCCACTGCATAAGTGTCCCATCCCATCCGGCAGCTCTGGGATTGCTGGCGATATAGCAGTGAGGCTGGAAGGGTGATCGGGCTCTATCCCTGGTGCTCACTGGGGAGGGCGTGCAGATCTGGGATGGGGAGCGGGATCTGGGCAGCTTTTGGTCCAGCACGGTTGCCAGGGCCGTCTCAGAGGTAGCCTCGCAAGCAGCTTCACCACTCCTCTCCCTTTTAATCGTGTCCATGACCACCTTCCAAGCAGGGAGCATTCGCAGCTCTGGCTCGTGTCCAGGTCGTAGAGCTTTACGCCGACCTAGTCCCAGAAGCAGAGGGTAAAAGCAGAAGAGGGAGTGGCATCGGGAAACATGCGTGACACCCATGGTAAACGTGACTTAAAGTCATGCTTTAGGATGGGGGAGCCGTGCTTTCTTAAGAGAGCGAGAATGGGTTCATTAACATCTCTCTCTTGGGACACATTCCACCCATAGTTTCATTCCCCCGGCTCACCTGTCACAGCTGATGAGGTGACTGTGGGCCCAGACGCGGTTCTCTCACCGCCACGATCACTTCTGGGGCCGCGCCGACTGCCACCACTTAGGTCAGTCCTTTTCCTCACACGGTGGGCACCAATTATGAGCGATGAAGGGAAACGGGGACAAC